CCCCCACGGGCAGACGGAGGAGCGACAGGACGGTCCACAGCAGCGTAGCCCAGACACAGGCCCCGTCGACCCACACCACAGGCGCAGAGGGGCGGAACAGGCACGGAGCACCGTCCGAAAGCCGAACAGGCAGGATGCCGCGACAGCGCGACCGAGGACAACCGTGCGACGACCGACGGTCCAAAACCACAACGAATTGCGACAGGAGAGGAGGGTTTCTCCCATGACGAGAGTAAACCGTAAAAAAAACCGTAAAAAAACCCGTAAAACAAACGCTAAAAAAGAATACTAGCGGGTGAGCAGCGGCAGCCAGACGCGCCAGCGTTCACTCAACCCGGAAGTGGTTGAGTGGTTGAGTTTTGTAGCAGCAGTACTTTTACAAAACAACCAGTTCTTGTTACGGGTGTTGTTTACATTCTGATTAGACCTCCTGTCATAAACTATTCAGCGTTATGATTTGCTTTTTTGCGGAATCTCAATTTACGACATGTTGCACCTCTAGCCATCTATTTTCGATACCACTAAGGGTGACCTTGGACCCTGGACTGTTTGCCAGTCAATCACACATCAGCAACAACTATTCATCCTCACATTTACAACTGTGGACAATTTAGGGCCCTATTTTTGTGCCCAGCAAGTCTAGCGCAATATGCAGTTTAACTCTGCGAGTGGGTGCAGTTTGCTCTCTTTTTGGTATTTTGACATTCTTTGCTCTGGTAGAAGAGGATGTTTGCAGAGTTGTGGGATAGAAACGCAGCCGACTCCCGGCTAATGAAAGCGGCTCTCCTCGTTCCTTTCAATTCAACATAGAGAGAAACATGTGGTGTACAGGGCATGTAGTTATCGGAGGTCAGTGTGCGCAAAATCCATTGAAATCAACTGCAAGAAGCTCTCTGTAAAACTTGGATAGGATATAAAGTGTGACAAGTAATGTGAGCTTTTACGAAACACAAAAATCAATTACAAACTAACACTGGGACTATAATTGGGGTTGAAAAGCATCCACACACTTGTGTTAACTATTCAAGAATGTTAAAAACATTATTTGGGTCATTTAAAATGTAGAGCATTTAGTTTTTCGACCTTACTTTAGAACCTGGTTTCATATATTTGTATTTCACCAAAGTCCATGTCATGCACTTCAGCCCCATCTCTCGCCCTCTTTTTCCTTTCTTCTGTCTCTTTTCACTCACCGTGCCTCTCTCATCTTTGGCGGAGATAACAGCGTGCTTTCGTCTTCCTTCTCCCTGAAGAGAAGACTGCCCAACAGAGCCAGAGCAGCCGAGTCAGCATTCCTACGCCTCTGTAATGTCCCAAACCATACCCCCACCCCTCCGCCCCACCCCAACCTCGACCCAACACGGGCACATGCTGTACATACAGTACACAGACGCACCCTTTGCATTAAAAAAAGAAGAGGGAAGGGGTGATACGCGAGCCCAGCAAGAGAGTGGGAAAACGCAGGTGCACTGCTGCAGAAAGACACCTCTTGACACAGAGTTCAATCTTTCCATCTAAACAGGGAGGATTTATTATTTTTTTACCTCAATTTGAAAGAAGAGGAGTCAGAGGAGGAGGAGCTTGGCACAGGTAAGGGGAGGAGGGAATAAAGACATGTAGGGAGGGGTACATGGGAGGGGGGGGCGTTTTAATGTGTTAATACACAAGAAGACTGCATCAAACCCATGCACTGCTCTGAGGCAGCCTGAGCAGCTGAGAGGAGTGCGTCAGTAGTACATTCACGTTCCCGCTGAAGGACAAAGGGAGGGGGGCAGAGATCTTAGTTGCCTGCAACACACATGGAGGTGGTGGAGGAGGAGGTGGAGAGGAGGGGGGGGAGAGATTGGAGCATAAACAAGAAGAGAAGACTGGGATTAGGATGCCGCTGCCGCCCGCTTGTGTGTGACGGTGGGCTGCCTTGTTGAGCGCTCGCATGCCGCCGCCTCCTCTCAATCTCCCTCCCATATTCTCTCTTTTGCGCACTCTATCTTCCCCTTGCTCTTGATCTGTCACTAGTTCTCTCTCTCTTTCTCTCTCCCTCTCTCTCCCTCTCACTGTTCTAGTCGGGCTACTGCAGTAGTCCACCAGCCAGCCAGCCAGCCAGCCAGCCAGCCAGCCAGCCAGCCAGCCGCACACATGGCCAACTAACACAACTTCCTACCTCAGCCAGCCTCAGCGGAGGAAAACTATCAACTAAGCAAGACGACCGCAGGAGACACGCTAAAAGGAGGACCAGCGTGTGCTTGGAGGACTCCTCGATCGCCGTTTACGGATACGGAGCCGACTTTGTCACACATCCATCCTCTGTCTCTTTTTTTTTTTTTTTTTTTTTTTGCTCTTGAGGACAAGAGCGCTCCCTCTCGCTTTCTCGCTCACTCTTCAACAGCCTTTTGCCAAGCACCGGCAGTGCAGCGCATCCCCATTCTACAACCGACACAACACCACCTCCACCCCCCTTGCACCACCACCAGCACCACTAACATCTCTCCCACCACCAACACCACCCCCTCCCTGAGGAGGAATAGACGGATTACTGCTAACTGTGCACACGGCAGCCTGCAGCTGCTCTGACCGGGCCAGCCCGATGCTGGGAGGAGGCACGAGAAGCGCAGAGGAAAAGAAGAAGAGGAACAGAGGAGGAGGATGAGGGGGATGATTGTGCCCGGAGTTCTTTAGCCTTTTTCTGTCTCTCAGTCTCTGTCACAACAGGGCTAATCACCAGCCTCGGAGCCCTTGGCAAAGTCACACTGAGGGAGGTCTTGCCACCAAACAAGGTGACCATCATGGATCAGGAGATGGCCAGCCAGTGATTTTTTTATTTTTTATTTGATTTTTGACTTTTACTCTCCTCTTCCAACCCAGTGAAATTGACCATACATCAATTTTACATCTGAGAGTCTTGGGCCTGGTAGGGTGATCTGGGACAACAGAGATCCACATACCTGGCAAGCCTTTTTGGCCTTACCTGTATCCCATTAGTCCTCAGTCCTCAAGACCAGGAGCCATTTTGTACCATCAGCCAATCAAAGGCCAAATCGTTCACTCTGAGAGGCAAAGTAAGACAAGTAAATCCTGCCACACTGACCCATGGACGAACATTATAAATCAACGAGACGAAAACGATTCCCACACTAATGAGGTAAGTCTTTATTATTCCTATCGAAGCTTATTTAGATGTTTTCCCTCTTCAGCCCTTGTCCTAATCTCTTTACACCTCTCTCTCTCTTATTTCTGCTTCTGGCGCATTCCATTTTGATGCAGCATCTTCCTGCACTGTCGATGGAACTCGGGAGCGTCAAGTTGCTCCAGCCAGGCTAGGGTGATACATCCTCTGGTGTGTGCCATCTCCCCCCAACATGCAGAATAATGTGCCCTCCACATCATGAGTCCTTTGGGCCAGGTTAGTGTGCAGCCTACCTGGAACACAGCCCTGCTTGCCGTGCTCTCCCTCATGGTACCTGCCCTCAGTATGTGCCAGTCCAGCAGCCCAACACTGGGCTCAGCCGGCTCGCAGAACTGTCCAGGCATGTGCTCCTGCACCAACCAGCTCAGCAAGGTGGTGTGTACCCGCAGAAGTCTGATTCGGGTTCCTCCTAACATCCCAGCCAACACCAGGTACCTTAACCTGATGGAAAACAGCATAGAGATCATACAGGCTGACACGTTCAGGCACCTGCATCACCTGGAGGTGCTGCAGTTGGGCAGGAATGCTATCAGACAGATTGAAGTGGGGGCCTTCAATGGCCTGACAAGTCTTAACACTTTGGAGCTGTTTGACAATAGGCTTACGGTCATACCCAGTGGAGCTTTTGAGTACTTGTCAAAGCTAAGAGAATTGTGGCTGAGGAACAATCCCATCGAGAGCATCCCGTCATACGCTTTCAATCGCGTCCCCTCTCTAATGAGGCTCGATCTCGGAGAGCTGAGAAAGTTGGAGTACATCTCCGACGGGGCATTTGAGGGTCTCCATAACCTCAAATACCTCAATTTGGGCATTTGCAACCTAAGGGAGTTTCCCAATCTCTCGCCCCTCGTGGGTTTGGAGGAGCTTGAAATATCAGAGAATGTTTTCCCTGAACTTAAACCCGTCGCCTTCCACGGGCTCAAGAATTTACGCAAACTGTGGATTATGAACTCCGCTATCACCACCATTGAGAGGAATGCATTTGATGACATCACAGCTTTGGTGGAGTTGAACTTGGCTCATAATAATCTGTCATCTCTCCCCCACAACCTCTTCACCCCCCTTCAGTATTTAGTGGAGCTACATCTGCACCACAACCCCTGGAAATGTGACTGTGATGTAGTGTGGCTCTCCTGGTGGCTCAGAGAGTACATTCCCACCAATTCCACCTGCTGTGGACGCTGCCATATCCCTGGCCACATGAGAGGGAGATACCTCGTGGAGGTGGACCAGACCACGTTTCAATGCTCCGCACCATTCATACTTGACGCTCCGAGAGATTTGAACATCTCAGCGGCGAGGGTGGCAGAACTCAAGTGTCGCACAGCTGCCATGAGCTCTGTAAGATGGCTTCTCCCCAGTGGGACAGTACTGACACACGGTTCGGTTCACCCACGGATATCTGTGCTTAATGACGGAACCCTAAACTTTTCCAATGTTCTGCCATCAGACACAGGCGTCTACACTTGCATGGTGAGCAACATGGCCGGGAATTCAAACGCCTCGGCTTACCTAAATGTCACTAATGCCGAACTCAATACGTCAAATCTATCCTACTTTACTACCGTAACCGTGGAGGTATTGGAGCCAACTGTGGAAGAAGCCCCCAAACCCAAGCCAACTTCCCCTGCCTCGCCCTCTGTCTTCAAACCTGTGTTCATCTCCACCCCTACCGTGCTGTTCCAAAACACGCAAACCCCAAGGCAGGTGTCAATCCCCACTGCAAGAATCCCCAGCGGGCCTGCTGCTAGCCTGGATGAGATCATGAAAACCACAAAAATTATCATTGGCTGTTTTGTTGCTGTGACCTTGTTGGCAGCGGCCATGTTAATAGCATTCTATAAGTTGCGTAAGCGGCATCAACAGAGGAGCACAGTGGCCGCGGCCAGGACCATAGAGATCATCCAAATGGAGGAGGAAGTTCCTCCAGTACCGCCCTCTTCTGGATCTAGTGGCTCAGAGGAGACGGGGTTGGTATTGCCTACCTTAGTGGAACACAACAGCAACACTTTTAAGCCTGGTTTTGTGTCGTCCTCTCGCCAAGGGGCTTACGCAGCCCATTGGACCCAGAACAACACTCTGCATCGTTCAGCCAGACAGCATCACAGCCACATCAGCACCATAGCGGATCCTTATATCATTAAGACTACTCATGGGAAAGAGAAGGTTCAAGAGACCCAAATCTGAATAATGTTCCTCCTGGGATTTGTCTCTGACTCTGCCCGAACCTCTTGTCCATGTCGTCGAATGCACAAAGAAAAAAAAAAAACATGGTACCTTTCTTTTGTACAGAAGTGCAAGGCAGAGATACTTCTAATTTCTTGTACATGCCTATACATAAGTATATCACTGAAAAGAATACAAATCTATATATCTATATACGTACATGAGACTATCAGAAAGTGGTAAGACATGCAGATTCTATTAGAAAAAAAAGAAATTTGACACTATTTTCTAATAACAGGTGACCTCTGTTCAAAGAATGATTTTAGTGAATGAGAGTGACAAAAGGAAGTTTTTGGACCATATTTAGGATGCAGTAAAAAAAATGAGTCTTTATGGTTTCTGATCACAGCCACACAGACGAAAGCTTAATTTTTCCTGTGCCAAATACAATATGCAATAAATCGGTATTTCTTGACAAACGAGTGGAGGGGGGAAAAAGGACATACAAGTCAAATGTGTCCAGATTGAAGCATTTTTGTAAGGATAGTGATGTGATGGCACAGATCGAGCGTGTGCTGTTCAGTAGCCAAGAGACAAATGCTTTTGGACTGCAGTACATTTTGTGCAGCTTCGATTTTAACCCTGTGTTTGCTGATGTCATACTGTGAGTGTTTTTTTTTTTTTTTTTTTTTTTTTTTTAATCTAAACACATCAAATGATAATGACGCACAGGCTAGCAGTTGTTCAAATACTTTGTTCTGTTTCTGGGTTGCATTCTGTTGTGTTTCTCTCCCTTTTACGTTTTGCTTCTTAATAGCTTGTGTAGTGTTTAGGGCTAATTTAGTAATGCATTACAGCAGTTGCCTGACTTGTCTCTGCAAGGGCTCATTCTGATGCTAATTCTTCAGCGGAAATGACACGTGGTGCGATGATACAGGGCTTTGCGGACCATTCTGGTTTGAGAAAGGGAAAAAAAAAAGGATTGACATTAAACACAATGAATGTCTGTCTGATATCCGGAGCTTTTTCCATTGCCTACATTGACTTTGTTTTACCAGTTTATTTTGAGGAACACTATTTTTATGGAGAGACAAACAGAGGCTATGAAAAAAAAAATAAAACCTTCTGGTTTGTATTTCTTTTAACGGAAACACATTCATCCCCTGTCTTTTGTGTGTGATTTGTTTAATTGGATGAAAAAAAAAAGCGGGGCCCAGATTGTAGATCTAACCCCAAACCTCCCATTTTACGCTCCTATGCATTTACTTGGTGTCTCCATGAATGGGTCTTTAAGTAACGGGTGTACAATGCTGCATTATACCCCACAGTGGGGCTCTATGCAGGTCAGATAGGCTGTTGGTCTTTGATTCTTCCACTTCTTCAAACATTGATCGTTTTTCACTGACTGAGCAGAAAAGAAAATACATGTATTCCACAGTTGTACCGTTTGTGGGTTTCTTTTCCTTACATCTGCAGGTTCCACTGTATAATTTAATGTCTTTTCAGCAAAATATTTCATCGAGTTAGCATCTGATTTCAAGAATGTCAAGCTTGATCTTGACCTTAAAATGGAGAGTAGACATTGGTATTTTTATTATTATTATTATTATTATTATTATTATGATTATTGTTATTATCATTATTTGAATGTCTGGTTCATTTGTATAACTTAGAAGACTTTTGACCTTACTCTCCAAATCAATTTACATACATACCTACTGCAGAGAGTTAACAGAATCTAAATCAAACCCTGCAGAAAGCTAATCATTTATAAAATGTTGCACATCCAGAAATAAATAAATAAAATCATCCAGCTGAGGCTATTTGCAGAAATTAAAGTCCAAGCCCTGTGATGATTATAGAGCATGGTGAGTTGGCAGGAACAGCAAGGCTCGATTCAACAGCTCCACAGGCTGGCGGTTGTGTCGCTAATCACAAAGGTTAGCCATGGTTAATATTTTTGGAGGAAAGCTATATTCGCATTTTGTGCCTTGACCTCGCTCGCAATCAACATGGTCTGATGAGATTTTAATGAGAGGTTTAAAACACAAACAAGAAAAATATTGTTTTTGTTAATGCGTCTTTTTCCTTGTGACACGCGTATTTGTTGAGAGTGAGGTTCTCGACAAACCTGGTGAAATTAAAAAATGGCAAACAGGTGCTTGTGCTGTGGACAAAGTACTATTTTCCACCAGAATATTGCTTATTTTGACATGGATTCATAGCACATAGTGTCATTTTTAGAAAATTAATCCAGGAAAAAAAAAGGTTAATTCAAGTATTTCCAAAGCATGCAACTTTTGTATAGCATTCATTTTCTACAAAATTAACAATGGAATTAATTAATTGGAAAAAAAGACCAGTTCGGGTACTCAAAACATACCAAGATTTTGTATTTATTTCAGCACATTCTTTCGGTGCAAAATCCAACTAAATTCTCAAGGGAACAGGCGCTATTAATAGGCGTGACTATACATCTGGTTCAGCAAAATCAGGTACAGTAATGATGTAACAGTCTGGTGAATGAATGGGAACAGGTTATGTCAGGCTGACACATGGGTTGTTAGATAAGTGTTTTTAGGAAGCACAGCAGGTCGTGTCAAAGCACAGGTGGGCCTGTTTGTGAAAATATGAGAGGAAAAACACCTGATATGATTGATCTTGCACAATTCAGCCTCACATTTTCAATTAAGTGCATTGAAATCAGCAAAAATGAAAATACAGTGGTGCCTTGAGATAAGAGTTTAATTCAGTCATTAATCAAAACCTTGAATCATCAGTTCTGGAAATGAATGGAAATGGGAAATCCATATCAGTCTCGCCAAAATACAAAAGCAACATATTTTTGACGCTGATTTAAAAAAGGTCTTTACTTCTTGTCTAGCACATGAGATTTTTTTGAGATATTCTCATTTTTGGTTTTTAAGTTTGACCTATTGCTCAATATATTCCATTACGTTATTATTATTATTATTATTGTTATGAAAACCTGATGTGCTTGAAAATAAACTAAGGCAGATTCGGAATCAACGCAAAAAAGAAAATCTTGACGTGTTTGCTTGCGTCCCTGATTAAAAAAAAAAAAAGTCAAACTTTGTTGGCCAGTGTAATTGAATGAATGTAAAGAATTGAACAGTTTGTAAATCATGATTAATGGCAGCTCCTTTTGGTGTGCATGACTTGGACACCAGGTATCAGTGTAATTCAATCATAGAGACACAAACGAAAAAGAGTTTCACAACTACTGTAAGTTACTCAGTGAGCTCCCGTAATAGTAGTTGATTTTCACAGAGCATAAATAATATATCTCTGTAAGTTTTGTTAGATTGTCTCTCTACATGTGTTGATGCACCGTTTGTTTTCAGATGTCCATTGCTTAAAGCGTTACAATACCGCTACGTGGATGTTATTCATTAACCCATTTGTGGTATTTCAGATCGCTTGTTAGCATTAAGGCAAGGAGTCTTTCCTAAGGGTAAATGATGTAGTTGTTTAAACCGTGTAATTCTCTTTGTTTTATGTTTAGTTTGACAGTAAACTTCCAACTGATAGAAACATTAAAACGCTTGGAGCCTCTTTTTTGAACAATCGTTCACTATCTGCCGAACCACTGCTTGTTGTGACGTGTTTTGACTTTACTGCTCCCATTCAAGCTCGCATCTCAAATGTTTGTACACAAGTCAAAGGAAAAAAGACCCCAAAACACCTCTGGTCTTGAAAAACGTTGAAGTTGGGTCACTCCTATCTTAAGGCACCAATGTTTAATGGCTAAATTAGCCTTTATTGTCAAACAATGTTGCCATGAGACAGCAATCACATTTGCTGTCTGTGAAAGCAACCTTGTTATTGCTTACCTGCACTTGTTTGGTGTCACTCTGTGATTTGTTTTCATTCATTGGTTAAGTTGTTTCAGAGTGGTGGCGCCTCTGCCCTTTCCAGACTTTTATTAGGCCTTTAATTAGCTATAATAGGCATTACAATTAGTGGCTATTACAGCACCCGTTGCATTGATGTGTGCCATTGTAGTAACATATTTTTTTTAACCACCTTTAAAAAAAAAAAAAAAAGACGTACTATTAACTTAACTGTTTAGCTATACGTCAATAAAAGTCAATACACATGATTGACGTCCATGCTCATGAAAAAGGTTAAAAGCATGAACATCAGCATACAAGTGACATCATGCTATGTGGCGAGGTCTTGTGTTTTCCCAGGCAACATAAAAATATACAGTAGTTTCAATCCTTTCTCTCAAGTGGCCGTCACTTTAGTGTCCTCCAGTTTGAGCTAATCATATCCTTTGCATTTCACAGTGAAGCATCTTTCAGCTTGGGATTTCAGTACGTCATTCGGCAGACATTCTCCCCATTTTGCTCTGGTTTGCATTTTCTTTTGCAATTGACTCCTTTATTTGACTTTTCAGCCACTCCATAACTAATCTAAAAGTTAACAGGTAGCGTTTTCTTTTGAGAAAAAACATTCTTAAAGGTTTAGATTTTTAAGCAGCTCTCACGGGCCAGTTTCATCGAGTAGAAGCCTGGCTAGCAGTTAAAGCTCAGTCCGAAAAATACATATCGGGTTGTTTTGATTGCATTACAATGTCTGTGCCACCTTTAGCCACACATTTTGTAGAAGCATGTGCTACTGGAAGATGTTTCATCATGTTGGAATCGCTCGACACTGATGTGAAAAAGCACTTTTATTCATGGCATGATGTGCATTTGGCATCTATGTTCTTTCCTTTAAGTTCTTTTCCAGAAAAGCCATGTTTATACTTCCAGTAAATGGAGCCTGCCTTACGCCCAGATTTAATCAGGCTTGTTGTGTGTCCAACAATGCTTGCTTTCGCGTGTGTGTCAACAACACCTGCCCACTTCTACCTCTGATTGGCTTGCAATGGAATTGGACTTTGCCAATCATAATCACTTGGGCGGTTGTCTCATGCAATTGTCTAAAAATGTAAATAACGCGCCACATTCTTTGGCAATAATGGCGTTATCATCATTGGAAAAGTAATTCGATTATTTGTTACCGATAAAAGTAATGGCATGAGTAACGTTTATTTATAACGGCATTTAGATATACAGCCATTACTAATAAAAGATTTGCAATCATAATTACTTAGCAGGTTCAAGGTTTACAATAGCTGCCCTGACTACTTTAACAGCGGATTTAGTGTGTGTGTGTGTGTGTGTGTGTGTGTGTGTGTGTGTGTGTGTGTCACAGGATGATCGCTAAGGAAAATTCTTTTCAAGACAGTTAGCGTCTTGCAGGCTTTGATCACAAGGGGAGAAAAATGCTAAAATTTGGCTCTATTGTCAAGTGGACGCCCCTCTTTGTAACAGCACAGCAAATTCTTTGAGTTATCCGAATGAAACAAAAAAAAAATGTTAAGCATCAAATATTCCAATTAAGATGATTATCCTTTGTAATCTGTTGTTTTGGCATCATTGTCTTGTTAATGGGTTGTGATGTATTAAATCCAGCAATCAACAGACGGTCCCCTTGGTTATGGATTGCTTTAAAAAACGTATTTACCTCTCCACCCTGAAGCCAGTGCTACAAATGACAAGGCAAGGCGGGAGAACCTTCCGCCAACGACATCAGCCTTAGAGCAGCCTGTCGGAGGCTTACGTGATCCATATTAGTGAGGCATGGCAGAGATGAAAAGAATGAAGTGGCAGCATATACAGTAGTTTGTCTCACTCTGACTTGATAGGATCTGCAGTAGAGACGAGCGTGGGGGGGGGGGCAACAGGAGCGAGCGGCGATGACATGCTGTGGCTGCCGTTGTTTGAGCTAAAGGGTTTGTTGCAAGCGGGTCCTTGAGCCTCAAGATCCATATCTGTTAATGAAGTCTCCAGCAGTACCAGGCAACAGTAAGTCTGCCAAAGTTTCCCTGGTGACTGATGCTTTTCCACAGCCACAAAGGGAGCGTAAGAATGATTCATGGCCGCGCTGCTATTAAGAAATAGTCTAGACTCCAATTCTCTTAGCCCTTTTGTTTTCATTGCTCGATTAGTCAGCTCACACATGACCGTGCGCTGCTCTCTACACCTCAACTACCTCCGTGCGACTCTTACCTTCACTTTTTTTTCTCCTTTTTTTTTAACCGCAATTGACTAATTCTATTTTAATGCGGTGGACTCACCTACGAGATTGCGTTAGCCTACATCGAAAAAAGGTCAGTTGAATTAATGATGCAAGCCTCCAGACTGTTTAATTGGCATTTCACTGACACCGATCCTCTTCATTTTATCATTTGCCAGACGCAAACATCATTTATGTCTGGCTTATTGTGATATTTCATCAGTTCAGTCATAAGTAACCTGACATATCACATGCTTGACCCACCGGATGTGATTATGAGCAGAATTTCTCTCAAACTCCATCCATCTATTATTTTTTTATGCCACCCCTCCCTGCTTGCTTTCAGGCAG